CCGCGTTTGGTGAAGCCACAGGGGAACCAGTCATCCTGTCGTCTTGTACGGCAAACTTCCATTGCTGGAGCCGGCATGCTGACGTAATGAGGAAGGCACAAGCCAACACGGCGACTGCGCGCCCTCTGGTGGCCGTGCGGGAGCAGCGGGATTATCTTTGATCTAGCCGGGATTCTACTTCCGGGACCGTTTCCGGGCTGCGAGTGTTGAACGGGGGAGAGGTGGGGCTCCCTTCCTAGGACTAGATCTGAGCATGCGCCGTGAGCGCTGTGGGGGCGTGGCCTGGCGTGGGGCGTGGTCGGGCGTGGCCGCTGGGTTAGGAACTGGAAAACTGGGAAAGGAGTGCTGTATTTAATAAGGGCCTTGGGCGCGGTGGCTCCCGCCTGTAATCCCAGCACTTTGGGAGGCCGAGGCGGGTGGATACGAGGTCAAGAGATCGAGACCATCCAGGTCAACATGGTGCAACCCCGTCTCTACTAAAATACAAAAAATTAGCTGGGCATGGTGGTGCGTGCCTGTAATCCCAGCTACTCAGGAGGCTGAGACAGGAGAATTGCCTGAACCCAGGAGGCGGAGGTTGCGGTGAGCCGAGATCGCGCCATTGCACTCCAGCCTGGGTAACAAGAGCGAAACTCCGTCTCAAAAAAAAAAAAAAAAAAGAGATCAAGACCATCCAGGTCAACATGGTGAAACCCCGTCTCTACTAAAATACAAAAAATTAGCTGGGCATGGTGGTGCGTGCCTGTAATCCCAGCTACTCAGGAGGCTGAGGCAGAAGAATTGCCTGAACCCAGGAGGCGGAGGTTGCGGTGAGCCGAGATCGCGCCATTGCACTCCAGCCTGGGTAACAAGAGCGAAACTCCGTCTCAAAAAAAAAAAAAAAAGAGATCAAGACCATCCAGGTCAACATGGTGAAACTCCGTCTCTACTAAAAATACAAAAAATTAGCTGGGCGTGGTGGCGCGTACCTGTAATCCCAGCTACTCAGGAGGCTGAGGCAGGAGAATGGCTTGAACCTGGGAGGCGGAGGTGGCAGTAAACCAAGATTATGCCACTGCACTCTAGCTTGGGCGACAGAGTGAGACTCCGTCTCAAAAAAAAAAAAAAAAAAAAAAAAAGAAGGGCCAGCTGGGCGCTGGTTTACACCTGTAATCTCAGCACTTGAGGCCAAGGTGGTCAGATCACGAGGTCAGGAGTTGGAGACCAGCCTGGCCAAACATGGTGAAACCCTATCTCTACTAAAAATACAAAAATTAGCTGGCTGTGGTGGCTCGTATCTGTAATCCCAGTTACTTGGGAGGCTGAGGCAGGAGAATTGCTTGCACGCAGGAGTTTGCAGTAAGCTGAGACCGCACCACTACACTATCCACTATCAGCCTGGGTGACAGAGCAACCTTCTCAAAAAAAAAAAAAAAAAAAAACGGCCTACCCAGAGGTTGCTGTGAGGTGAGAGAACACCACTGCTCTCCAGCCTGGGTGACAGAGTGAGACTCTGTCTCAAAAAAAACCCAAAAACTAAAAAAAAGGCCTCCTGTGGTCTCACTGGCTCCTCTTTGTTACAGTGCCATTGATACCATGTACAGCGGAGGAACTGAGGTTCACCATTGAGCCTCTCACTTGCCCACTCTGCCAAACGCTGGTAGGGATGTGATTAGAGGCTCCTCTTCTTTCATGAAATGAGATAGCAGTGTCTACTCCAAAAGATGGTTGGAAGGATTAAAACTAGTATTCAGATTACAGTGCTGTATTAATAGTGTCCTCTTTTAATAGTAATAATATGGTAGCAGCAGTCACGTAGTCTTTACAGTCACGCAGGTGTGTATGTAGATGGGGTTCTCACTCTATTAACCAGGCTGGTCTCAAACTCCTGGCCTCAGGCTATCCTTGCCCCTCTGCCTCCCTTAGTTCCGGGATTACAGGTGTGAGCCACTGCACTGACCTGCAGTCTTTTTATTTTTATTTTTTGAGACGGAGCTTCACTCTTGTTTCCCAGGCTGGAGTGCAGTGGCGCAATTTTGGCTCACCACAACCTCCATCTCCCGGGTTCAAGGGATTCTTCTGCCTCAGCCTCCCGAGTAGCTGGGATTACAGGCATGCGCCACCATGCCCGCCTGGCTAATTTTGTATATTTCATAGAGATGGGGTTTCTCCATGTTGGTCAGGCTGGTCTCGAACTCCCAACTTCAGGTGATCTGCCCACCTCAGCCTCCCAGAATGCTGGGATTACAGGCATGAGCCACCACGCGGGGCTGCAGTCTTTACTCTCCCTACAACTCTGTGAGGTGGTTAGTGCTAGCATTCCCATTTAACAAATGAGGACAGTGAAGAAAGCAGAAGTATCTTGGCCAAGGTCACAGAATAGCTAATAGCAATTCCCAGGTGGTGTGGAGTGGAAGGCCCTGCCCAAGGTATATTCTGGTTTCTAGAGGTTGCAAAGAAATGGACCACCCATCCGTTCTTGCAGCCTCCTTCTGATCTACAGTGGGACTTGGCAAAGGCAGGCATAGTAAGAAAACAAAGAGAAGAAGGTTGGAAGAAGAGAAGGATTGGGCCTCAGAAAATACGAGAGGACTAGGAAGGATAGAAACAAATATTTTGGCCAGGTGCAGTGGCTCACACCTGCAGTCCCAGCATTTGGGAGGTCATAATGGGTGAATCAATCGAGGTCAGGAGTTTGAGACCAGCCTGGCCAACATGGTGAAACCTCATCTCTACTAAAAATACAAAAAAAAAAAAAAAAAAAAAAAAATCAGCCGTGCTTAGTGGCGCATGCTTGTAATCCCAGTTACTTAGGAGGCTGATTCAGGAGAATAGCTTGAAGTTGGGAGGTGGAGGTTACAGTGAGCCGAGATTGTGCCATTGCACTACAGCCTGGGTGACAGAACCAGACTCCATCTCATAAAACAAAATAAAACAAAAATTGACCGGGTGTGGAGGTGCGTGCCTGTAATCCCAGCTTCTTTGGAGACTGGGGCAGGAAAGTTGCTTGAACCCAGGAGGTGGAGGTTGCAGTGAGCCGAGATCCTGACACTGTACTCCAACCTGTGTGTTGGAGTACAAACAAACAAAAAAACAAAGAAAGCTTTTGTCCCCATTTCCACCAGAAGTGAAGAAAAGAATGCCTTCTAGCTTGAGGAATGGGAAATGGGCATGGTAGTACTAGACTGCTGCTACTACTAAATACTGCTACTACTGCTATGACATTGCACAATCATATCTACTCATAGAAGGTATTAATTTAATCCCAGAAATTCAGGCTGAGATTGGGAAGACTAGGTTTCTTGTCTTTGGGAATATGTTTACTTACCTATACAGGGAGCAATAAATAAGATTCCCAGGCCGGGTGCGGTGGCTCAAGCCTGTAATCCCAGCACTTTGGGAGGCTGAGGCGGGCGGATCATGAGGTTGAGAGATCGAGACCATCTTGGTCAACATGGTGAAACCCTGTCTCTACTAAAAATACAAAAAATTAGCTGGGCATGGTGGCACATGCCTGTAATCCCAGCTACTCAGGAGGCTGAGGCAGGAGAATTGCTTGAACCCAGGAGGTGGAGGTTGCGGTGAGCCGAGATCGTGCCATTGCACTCCAGCCTGGGTAATAAGAGCGAAACTCTGTCTCAAAATAAATAAATAAATAAATAAATTAAAAAAAAAAAAAAAAAAAGATTCCCTGTCCTGGCTGCCTAGCCAGGTTATTAGGAGGAAAGAGAGATTTGGTGTCCTGCACTACCGTTCAGAATGGCTCATGATGGGACACTGTGTTTGCAAGGCTGGGGAAAGCCGGCTGTGATACCTACAAGTGAGAGTATACATTTTTACAACTTCAGAGAAGGCAAGCGGCAGTATCTGTTAACCTAACATTAATCCTTTGTACCAATCCTTTGATTAAGCACTTCAGGGCCAAGGAAACTATCTTACATGTGTATTCCCCCATGTGCACAGACAAATGTACAGAGAGATATAGTTTAGAGTTGTTTGAATAGCAAAAGCATGGGAGCAAACTAATTGTTCATAAATAGGGGACTGGCCTGATTTTTGAAAAATGACACGTCAAGCATGAGCAACATGGTGAAACCCTGTGTCTACAAAAAATACAAAAGTAGCTGGGCATGGTGGCATGCATGCACCTGTAGTCCCAGCTACTCCGAGGTTGAGGCAGGAGGATCACTTGAGCTGCAGAGACAGAGGTTGCAGTGAGTCGAGATTGCATTACTGCACTCCAACCTGGGAAACAGAGTGATACACATCTCAAAAACAAAACAAAACAAAACACATTTGTGTAACAGGAATTCTATGCATCTCCCCCCCCAAAAATGTAGTACTCTTGTGCAATAAGCTCCAATATTTAATCACATATAATTATGACTGTGATTGGCTGCAAAGAACAATATAGCCTTCTACAGTGGCTTAAGCAGACAAGGGTTAATCTGTCTCAAGTAGTAAGTAGTCTAAGGGCAGGCACATCTGAGTCTCATATGGGGCATGGTGTGTTGTCAGAGACACAGACTCTTGAAAATTTCAAAAACATAGCAGGTCACAGTGGTACATGCCTGTAGTCCCAACTACTCGGAAGGCTGAGGCAGGAGGATCACTTGAGCCCAGGAGTTCCAGGCTGTAATGAGCCAGGATCATGCCTATGAATAGTCACTGCACTTCAGCTTGGGTAACATAGCAAGACCCCATTTTTAAAACAAATTTTTTTTTTTTTTTTTTGAGACGGAGTTTCGCTCTCGTTATCCAGGCTGGAGTGCAATGGCACGATCTCGGCTCACCGCAATTTCCGCCTCCTGGGTTCAGGCAATTCTCCTGCCTCAGCCTCCTGAGTAGCTGGGATTACAGGCACGTGCCACCATGCCCAGCTAATTTTTGGTATTTTTAGTAGAGACGGGGTTTCACCATGTTGACCAGGATGGTCTCGATCTCTCGACCTCGTGATCCACCCACCTCGGCCTCCCAAAGTGCTGGGATTACAAGCTTGAGCCACCGCGCCCGGCCTTTTTTTTTAATTTAAAAACTTTTTGCCTCATTTCACCAGGACCCTGGCTTGGGGAGCCTCCCTCATGGTGGGACTCCTGGCTTTGGATTTCACCTTCTTTCCCCTTCCAAGTGGTGTAGGTAATGGGCCATGGGGGCTGGAGCTGGACTTGGCTAAGCTTCCAAGGCCCTCCTGGAGGGCCAAGAGTTGGGCCAGGCTCTGAGGTGTGGGGGATTCTCCCGTGCCCCGCACCGAATGAGTTCTGTGAGTGATGGGGTACTGTGGGCTTCAGGTTGGAGTGGGACTAGTGCCTCAAGGCAGCTTGCAGATCTTTCAGCCTGAGGGCGAGGCAGGAGGCAGGATGGAAAGCAACCCTGAGGGGCCTCCCCAGAGCCTTACGCTGCCTGTGCTGGAGCCATGAATCTGGAGAAGGAGAAGTAGGAGAAAACCTTGAGGAGTCCCAGGACACCAAAGCTCTGCACTTTGCCAAGCTCCTGAAGCAGAAGAGGATCACCCTGGGCTATATCCAGGCCCAGGTGGGGCTCACCCTGGGGGGTTCTTTTTTTTTTTAATTAAAAAAATTTTTGTTGTTGTTTGTTTTTTTGTTTTTAATTTTTTTGAGATGGAGTTTCGCTCTTGTTACCCAGGCTGGAGTGCAATGGCGCGATCTCGGCTCACCGCAACCTCCGCCTCCTGGGTTCAGGCAATTCTCCTGCCTCAGCCTCCCGAGTAGCTGGGATTACAGGCACGTGCCACCATGCCCAGCTAATTTTTTTTTTTGTATTTTTAGTAGAGATGGGGCTTCACCATGTTGATCAGGATGGTCTCAATCTCTTGACCTCGTGATCCACCTGCCTTGGCCTCCCAAAGTGCTGGGATTATAGGCGTGAGCCACCGTGTCCAGCCTTTTTTTTTTTTCCCCCGAGATGGAGTTTCACTGTTGTTACCCAGACTGGAGTGCAATGGCACTGGCACGATCTCGGCTCGCCGCAACCTCCACCTCCTGGGTTCAAGCAATTCTCCTGCCTCAGCCTCCCGAGTAGCTGGGACTACAGGTGTGCGCCACCATGCCCAGCTGATTTTTGTATATTTAGTAGAGACGGGTTTTACCATGTTGACCAGAATGGTCTTGATCTCTTAACCTCGTGATCCACCTGCCTCGGCCTCCCAAAGTGCGGGTGTGAGCCACTGCACCCGACCTCGCGCCTGGCCTTTTAAAATTATTTTTTGAGACAGGGCCTCCTTCTGTCGCCCAGGCTGGAGTGCAGTGGCATAATCTTGGCTCACCGCAACCTCTGCCTCCCAGGTTCAAGCGATTCTCATGCTTCAGCCTCCCAAGTAGCTGGGATTACAGGCACCTGCCACCACGCCATGTTACAGTCCAGGCTGGTCTTGAACTCCTGACCTCAGGTCATCTGCCCACCTTGGCAAAGTGCTAGGATTACAGGAGTGAGCCACCATGCCCAGCCTCTGGGGGCTCTATTTGGAAAGGTGTTCAGCCAGGTGACCATCTGCTGCTTTGAGGCTCTGCAGCTCAGTTTCAAGAACATGTGTAAGCTGCCACCTTTGCTGCAGAAGTGGGTGGAAGAAGCTGACAACAACAAAGATCTTCAGTAGATCTGTAAAACAGAGACCGTCATGCAGGCCCGAAAGAGATGGTAAACCAGTACCGAGAACTGAGTGGGAGGCAACCTGGAGAACTTGTTCCTGCCGCGCCTGAAACACACTGCAACAGATCTCCAGCTTGGGCTGGAGAGGATGTGGCCCGAGTGTGGTTCTGTAACTGGTGCCAGAAGGGTAAGCGATAAAGCAGTGACTATGCACAATGACAGGATTTTCAGGCCGCTGGGTCTCCCTTCTCAGGGACCCAATGTTCTTTCCTCTGGCCCCAGGGCCCCGGTTTGGCATCCCAGGCTATGAGAGCCCTCACTTCTCTATGCTTCGAGGGGAAGCCTTTCCCCCTATCTCTGTCACCACTCAGATCTTCCATGCATTGGAACTGAGGTGCCTGTTCTTCTGGGAATGGGAATGGGGGACAGGGGAAAGGAAGAAGCTAGGGCAGGAGAACCTGGAGTTTGTGCCAGGGCTTTTGGGCTTAAGTTCTTCATTCGCTAAGGAAGGAACTGGACACACGAAGGGTGGGGGCAGGGGGCTTGGGGGGCAACTGGTTGGAGGGAAGATGAGGTTCAATGATGCTTTTGATTTTTTTTTTTTTTTTTTTTTTTGAGACGGAGTTTCGCTCTTGTTACCCAGGCTGGAGTGCAATGGTGCGATCTCGGCTCACTGCAACCTCCGCCTCCTGGGTTCCAGCAATTCTCCTGCCTCAGCCTGCCGAGTAGCTGGGATTACAGGCACGCGCTACCATGCCCAGCTAATTTTTTTGTATTTTTAGTAGAGGCGGGGTTTCACCATGTTGACCAGGATGGTCTTGATCTCTTGACCTCGTGATCCACCCGCCTCGGCCTCCCAAAGTGCTGGGATTACAGGCTTGAGTCACCGCGCCTGGCTCTTTTTTTTTTTTTTTTTTAAAGATGGGGTTTCACCATGATGGCCAGGCTGGTCTTGAACTCCTGACCTCAGGTGATCCACCCACCTCGGCCTTCCAAAGTGCTAGAATTACATGTGTGAGCCACCGCGCCCAGCCCACTTTGTTCTTAAAGAAGCCAGAGACACAGTAAAAAATAAATTAATTAAAATAAAATAATAAAAATAAAATAAAATAAATATAAAAATAAAATAAAAATAGATTAATAAAATAAAATAAAAACTTTTTATTGTGAATAATAAAACGTTAGTGTTCAATTTAATATGTTACTGTAATGTGAGTATCTATGTGACCACTACCTGAGTTAACCAAGAATGCTGGCAGCACTCCAGAAGCCCTCTCTGTGCTGCCTTACCACTCAACGCAGCCTCCCACCCTCTTGAGGGAACCACGCTCCTGACACGGCAAGCAGGTTTTGCTTTACTTTATAACAGTTAGTCTCAGAGTAGGATTCCTGGATCAGCTATATCAGCGTCAACTGGACCTTGTTAGGAATGAAAATTCCTAAGCCCCACCCCAACTGTACTGAGAAACCTCGGAGATAGGGCCCAGCCTTTTCGATTTTTTTGTTTTTGTTTAAAAGACAGGGTCTTGCTCTGTCAGAGGCTGGAGAGCAATGGTGCATTCATGGCTCATGGAAACCTCAAACTCATGGACTCAATGGGTCTACCCACATGAGACTCTCAAGTAGCTAGCATTACAAGCATATACCACTGCACCTGTGTAATTTTTTTTTTTTTGAGACGGAGTTTCGCTCTTGTTACCCAGCCTGGAGTACAATGGCGCGATATCGGCTCACCGCAACCTCAGCCTCCTGGGTTCAGGCAATTCTCCTGTCTCAGCCTCCTGAGTAGCTGGGATTACAGGCACGCACCACCATGCCCAGCTAACTTTTTGTATTTTTAGTAGAGACGAGGTTTCACCTTGCTGACCAGGATGGTCTTGATCTCTTGACCTCGTGATCCACCCGCCTCGGCCTCCCAAAGTGCTGGGATTACAGGCTTGAGCCACCGTGCCCGGCCGGTCTCGATCTCTTGACCTCGTGATCCACCTGCCTCGGCCTCCCAAAGTGCTGGGATTACAGGCTTGAGCCACTGTGCCCGGCTGAACCAGATAATTTTTCATTAAAAATTTTTTTTTTGTAGAGATGTGTTTTCAGGCCGGGTGTGGTGGCTCACGCCTGTAATCCAAGCACTTTGGAGGCCTGGTGGGCAGATCACCTGAGGTTGGGAGTTCAAGACCAGCCTGACCAACATGGTGAAACCCTGTCTTAAAAAAAAAAGAGAGATGTTTTCACCACATTGCCCAGGCTGGTCTCAAACTCCTGAGCTCAAGCAATTCTCCCACCTCAGTCTCCCAGTGAAGTTTTAAATGAAAAAACAGGCCTGGCACAGTGGCTTACACCTATAATCCAAACACTTAGGGAGGCCAAGGAGAGCGGATCACTTGAGATCAGGAGTTTAAAACCAGCTTGACCAATGTAGGGAAACCCCACCTCTACTAAAAATGCAAAAATTAGCCAGGCATGGTGGTGGGCGCCTGTAGTCTCAGCTACTCCGGAGACTGAGACAGGAGAATTTCTTGAAGCAGGGAGGTGGAGGTTGTAGTGAGCTGAGATCATGCCACTGTAGTCTAGCCTGGGCAATACAGTGAGACTCATCTTAAAAAAAAAAAAAAAAAAAAAAAGGGGGGCTGGGCGCGGTGGCTCAAGCCTGTAATCCCAGCACTTTGGGAGGCCGAGGTGGGTGGATCACGAGGTCGAGAGATCGAGACCAACCTGGTCAACATGGTGAAACCCCGTCTCTACTAAAAATACAAAAAATTAGCTGGGCATGGTGGCGCATGCCTGTGATCCCAGCTACTCGGGAGGCTGAGGCAGGAGAATTGCCTGAACCCAGGAGGCGGAGGTTGCGGTGAGCCAAGATCGCGCCATTGCACTCCAGCCTGGGTAACGAGCGAAACTCCGTCTCAAAAAAAAAAAAAAAAAAAAGCTGGGGCATGGTGGCTAATGCCTATAATTTCAGCATTTTGGGAAGCCAAGGCATGCAGATCACCTGGGGTCAGGAGTTTGAGACATGTCTGGCCAACATGGTGAAACCTTGTCTCTACTAAAAATACAAAAATAGCTGGGTATGGTGGTAGGCACCTATAATCCCAGCTACTTGGGAGACTGAGGCAGGAGAATCACTTGAACCCAGGAGGCAGAGATTGCAGTGAGCTGAGATCATGCCACTGCACTCCAGCCTGGATGATACAGCAAGACTCTGTCTTAAAAGAAAAAAAAAAAAAAGAAAAAAAGAAAAGAAAAAGTGATTTAGGCCAGGCGCGGTGACTCAAGACTGTAATCCCAGCACTTTGGGAGGCCGAGGCGGGTGGATCACAAGGTCGAGAGATCGAGACCAACCTGGTCAACATGGTGAAACCCTGTCTCTACTAAAAATACAAAAAATTAGCTGGGCATGGTGGCGCATGCCTATAATCCCAGCTACTCAGGAGGCTGAGGCAGGAGAATTGCCTGAACCCAGGAGGCGGAGGTTGTGGTGAGCCAAGATTGAGCCATTGCACTCCAGCCTGGGTAACAAGAGCGAAACTCCGTCTCAAAAAAAAAAAAAAAAAAGAAAAAGTGATTTAAGACAAAGCACAAAATATTGAAGATAGTCAAAACCCAATAGTCAAATAAGAGGAATCCCCAAAAAAGACTTTCAAAAAGGTTTGAAACTACAAGCTGAAAGAACATAATGCATCCCCAGAGCTATCACTGCTAAGATATGTTCTAATAAAATATTAAGGCTTTAGGGTGGTACGATGGCTCATGTCTGTAATCTCAGCACTTGGGAGGCCGAGGCAGACAGATCATCTGAGATCAGGAGTTCAAAACCAGCCTGGCCAACATGACGAAACCCCATCTCTACCAAAAAAAACAAAAATTAGCTAGGTGTGGTGGTGCAAGCACATAATCTGAACTACTCAGGAGGCTGAGGCAGGAGAATCGTTTGAACCCAAGAGGCAGAGGTGGCAGTGAACTGAGATCGTCCCACTGCACTCCAGCCTGGGCAACAGAGCAAGATGCCATATAAAAAAAAAACTAAACAAAAAAAACCCAACACACACACACACACACACACACACACACACACACACACACACACATACACATACACGCACACGCATGCACAATTATTTACAGAAATTTGTGACTGGCCTGCAGGTAGTAATTTGCAGACTCCTGCTCTGACAGGAAGGAACATGCCCTCCTGTTTCCTTACTTCTCTTTCTATTAGCTGGTGCTATGATTTACATGTTTTTGTACCCTCCAAAAATTCATATTGGAATTTATTCCCCAATGCAATGGTATTGGAAGGTGTGGCCTTTAGGAGATAAGATTGAGTAATGAGGGCTTTGCCTTCATGAATTGGATTAAGTTCCCTTATAGAATGGCCTGATGGGGGAGTTCACTCCTTTTTTGTCCTTCTGCCACCATGAACACCCAGCATTCCTCTCCCTGAAAGATGCAGTAAAAAGCCACCCTCTTTTTTTTTTTTTTTTTCTCTGAAACAGAGTTTCGCTCTTATTGCCCAGGCTGGAGAGCAATGGTGTGATCTCAGCTCACTACATCTCTACGTCCCGGGTTCAAGCAATTCTCCTGCCTCAGACTCCTGAGTAGCTGGGATTATGGACATATGCCACCACACCTGGCTAATTTTGTATTTTTAGCAGAGATGGGTTTCTCCATGTTGGTCAGGCTGGTCTTGAACTCCCAGCCTCAGGTGATCTGCCCGCCTTGTTCTCCAAAGAGTTGGGAGAACAACTCTTGACGTGAACAACTCTTGTAGTGGCATGAGCCACTACATCTGGCCAAGCCACCCTCTTAAAAGCAGAGAGCAGAAATTTGTAGTGTGAAGGAACTGTTCTGAACATTCTTCCTGGTGCATTTGGTGGGCTCAGCATTTTTATTTCCTATGATATCTGGTTAGTTCTGTCTTTCCAAAATTAGGGACTAATAAGGTTTCACTAATCTGCTGATGTGCAGTGTGGTATTTCTCAGGTTTACTTGACTATGTGGAAACACTTTTATACTCCTTTTTACTGAGACCCGCAACACCCCAGTCACTCTGGAAGTCATCAGTGGGGAAGAAATGAATGGAACCACCTTGGTGTTTCCCTTCCCCACAAAGAAAATTACGGATTTTGAGGAGACATGCAGGTAAGAGGGATTAGTACTTGAAGAGCTAGTTATTTTGTAGAATTTTCTTCAATTTTAGTTTGTCTGATTTTATCTTTCTATGTTTTTTATTTATAATTATTATTTTTTGAGGCGGAGTCTCGCTCTGTCACCCAGGTTGGAGTGCAGTGGTGTGATCTCCATCTCCTGGGTTCAATCGATTCTCCTGCCTCAGCCTCCCAAGTAGCTGGGATTACAGGTGTGTGCCACCACACCTAGCTAATTTTTGCATTTTCAGCAGACACAGGGTTTTACCATGTTGGCCAGGCTGGTCTTGGGCTCCTGACCTCAGGTGATCCACCCACCTTGGCCTCCCAAAGTACTTGGATTATAGACATAAGCCACTGTATCTGGCCTTCTTTGTTATTTTATATTTTTTTTTTTTTTTTTTTTTTTTGAGACGGAGTTTCACTCTTGTTACCCAGGCTGGAGTGCAATGGCGCGATCTCGGCTCACCGCAACCTCCGCCTCCTGGGTTCAAGCAATTCTCCTGCCTCAGCCTCCTGAGTAGCTGGGACTACAGGCACGCGCCACCATGCCCAGCTAATTTTTTGTATTTTTAGTAGAGACGGGGTTTCACCATGTTGACCAGGATGGTCTCGATCTCTCGACCTCGTGATCCACCCGCCTCGGCCTCCCAAAGTGCTGGGATTACAGGCTTGAGCCACCGTGCCCGGCCTTATTTTATATTATTTTTTTGAGACAGGGTCTCACTCTGTCATCCAGGCTGGAGTACAGTGTTGTGATCACAGCTCACTGCAGCCACAACCTCTCAGGCTGATCTTCCCACTTCAGCCTCTTGAGTAGTTCGGGCTACAGGTGCATGCCACCACACTAGGCTAATTTTTAGAATTTTTTGTAAAGATGGGGTGTCGCTATGTTGTCCAGGCTAGTCTCAAACTCCTGGGGTCAAGCAATCCTTCTGCCTCAGCCTCCCAAAGTGCTGTGATTGCAAGCATGAGCCACCATGCCCAGGCTTGTTGGTTTTGTTTTTCATCTTGCTCTGTCACCCACACTGAGTGACATGAACATGGCTTACGGCAGCCTTGGGCTTGAGTGATCCTCTTGCTTCAGTCTCCCAAGTAGCTGAGACTACAGGTGTCAGAGGCATGTAAACCAGAACAACTCCATCTTGTATGGGAGCTGGGTAAAATGAGGCTGAAACCTATGAGCTGCATTCCCATACAGTAATAAATTCTAAGTCACAGGATGAGATAGGAGGTCGGCACAAAATATAGGTCATAAAGACCTTGCTGATAAAACACGTTGCAGTAAAGGAGCAGCCCAAAACCCACCAAAATCAAAACGGCATGAATTTTCACTACTATACTTCCACCAGTGCCACGACAGTTTACAAATTCCATGGCAATGTCAGGAAGTTACCCGATAAGGTCTAAAAAGGGGAGGTGTGAATAATCCACCCCTTGTTCAGCATATCAAGAAATAACCATAAAGATGGGCAACCAGGAGCCCTTGAGTCTGCTCTGTCTATGGAGCAGTCATTCTTTTATTCTTTTACTTTCTTAATAAACTTGTGGGCTGGGAGTAGTGACTCAAGCCTGTAATTCCAGCACTTTGGGAGGCTAAGGCTGGTGGATCAGAAGGTCAGGAGTTGAAGACCAGCCTGGCCAAGATGGTGAAACCCCATCTCTACTAAAAATACATAAATTAGCCAGGTGTTGTGGCGAGCACCTGTAATCCCAGCTACTCAGGAGGCTGAGGCAGAGAATTGCTTGAACCTGGGAGGTGGAGGTTGCAGTGAGCTGAGATCATGCCACTGTACTCCAGCCTGGGTGACAGAGTGAGACTCCGTCTCAAAAATAAAAACCAAAAAACCCAAAAAACTTGCTTTCACTTTGCACTGTGGACTCACCCTGAATTCTTTGTTGTGCAAGATCCGAGAACTCTCTCTCAGGATTTGGATCCAGACTCCTTTTCTGTACACAGGCACTTGTCACCACGCCCGGCTAATTTTGATTTTTTGTAGAGATGGGGTTTCACCCTGTTGCCCAGGCTGGTTTCAAACTCCTTGGCTTAAGGAATCCTCCCTACTCAGCCTCCGAAAATGCTGGGATTGCTGGCATGAGCCACTGTGCCCAGCCTTGTTTGATATTTATGACTAGACTGAGGTAATGCATTTTTTAGAATGTTGTGGCAGTATCACAGAAGTGTTGTGCCTTTCTCAATGGATCCTAACGGTAGATACATAATGTCACTGTGTTTTATACCTGGGGATGTTAACTTTGATCACTTGTTTAAAGTGGTGCCTGCCAGGATTCTCCACAGTAAACTATTTCTTCCTTTGTAATTACTAAACATTTTATTATTTTCTTCTTTTTCCTCGAAATTGGATGTCAAAAACATTTCATTTTTATTGATTTATTTTTTTGAGAGGGAGTCTTGCTCTGTAGCCACAGCTAGACTGCAATGGAACGATCTTGGCTCACTGCAAATGCTGCCTCCCGGGTTCAAGTGATTCTCCTGCCTCAGCCTCCCGAGTAGCTGGGACTACAGGATGCACCATCATGCCCGGTTAATTTTTTTTTTTTTTTTTTTTGAGACGGAGTTGCCCTGTCACCCAGGCTGGAGTGCAATAGCGTAATCTCGGCTCACCGCAGCCTCCGCCTCCTGGGTTCAAGCGATTCTCCTGCCTCAGCCTCCCCAGTAGCTGGGATTCAGGTGCGCGCCACCACGTCCGGCTAATTTTTTGTGTCTTTAGGAGACACAGAATTTGACCATGTTAGCCAGGCTGGTCTGGAACTCCTAACCTCGTGATCTGCCCGCCTCGACTTCCTAAAGTGCTGGGATTACAGGCGTGAGGCACCGCCCCCGGCCTCATAGCCGGCTAATTTTTGTATTTGTAGTAGAGACGGGGTTTCACCATGTTGGCCAGGCTGGCTCCAACTCCTGACCTCAAGTGATCTGCCCGCCTTCGCCTCTCAAAGTGCTGGGATTCCAGGCGTGAACCACCGCGCCGGGCCTAATTACTAACCATTTTAGTAGAGATGTTTTGAAACTCTGCATATATCCTGTTTCGGCTTCAAATTCTGCTTACTGATTTTAGCATCCGTCGGTGGATGTGCAGAAGGCCGACTTTTACTTTCTCAGTCTGAGCAAAATTTCCCTGTCTCAAGGAGCAAAACAAGCAGAATTATTGGACAGGAAGAATGGTGGGAGAGAGCAGAGACCTAGGCAAGGGTAGTTCCTGTAAAAATTAGGTAAGTGAAGCCTAGTAAGTACACCCGCACTACAAATAGAAGGATGGCTCAGGCAGCTCCGAGAAAGGTTTGTAATTAGGCGCGGGGCCGGCTGCCCGGTTGCCCTGGAGACGGGGTCCTTTCTCGTTGGGCGTCGCCATCTTGTGTCACCAGTGTTTGCCCAATGAGCAGCTGCTTAGTGGCGGGAGGGCGGGGTACCCTGGCGGCTCTCCGCTCGCTCTGGCGCTCTGCTCTTTCCGGTCATGGAGACGCTAGCCACCCGCTTGTTTTTGCTCCTGTGGCTAGGGGCCTGGGCGCCCGCCCCGGGCAGCGCCTCCTCCGAGGTACCCTCGCTGATCAACGAGGAGGTGAAGCGCACAGTGGACCTAAGCAGCCACCTGGCAAAGGTGACGGCCGAGGTGGTCCTGGCGCACCTGGGCAGCGGCTCCACTTCCCGAGCTACCTCTTTCTTACTGGCTTTGGAGCCCGATCTCGAGGCTCGGCTGGCGCATCTGGGCGTGCAGGTGAGTGCGGGCGACCCTTCGACGCCGCTCCCCGCGCTCTTCCCGCCAGTCCCATGACTCGGCCTGCTCCCGTCTAAGCTTCAGGAAATGCCGAGACCCGGGCGGCGGGTGGGGCACCCGGGGTCCGTGGGATCGGCTCGGGGCCCGGGAGGAGCCGGGGTGGCCAGGGGCCCCAGCGCCTCCGCGGCCAGTGCATGCCTGCCCTCCCGCCTGGGCCACGTCAGCACTGGTTTGCCCCCGTCGGGCCGCTGCTCACAAGAGCAGCCGGTTGGATCTGCGGTCGACTCGCCTCGGAGCTTGCCCGCACATGGGCTGCTCTGCATCGCTCGGGCGACCTCCAGCCTATAGAAAGCACCTCCCTTGCGTTAGGCGAGCGCGGCCGTCCCCCGGCCCGGTGCCAGCGGGCGCCAGACTTCATTTCTCACGGCCCGACGCAGTGGCCCAAGTGGAGGACAAATAAATGAGTTAAAATGAATTTCATTCTCTTAATTCACTATCTGGTCCATTGTAGGCGCTTCTTTCTAGACGTAGAGAATCACCAGAAATGTTAACAGGTTTCGCATTTGTAAGTTGGTAATCACTTGAAATCACTATTAATGTGACATTTCTTAAGGTTGCTAATAACGCTTTCTAAATGTTAAAACTCTTTTTAAAGTTAGTTTTAGAGCTCCTGCACGTAATGTAAATTATCTTATGCTGTACATAAAAGGAAAGTCCAATTCACTCCCTTCCCCCTACTGCCTCTCGTTCTTAAACCTCGGCAAGAAATGGCTGTGTTTGCCTTAAATGCTTCCAGGTATTTTAGTGATCACTAAAGAAAATGTTGGATTTGGGGGTAGAGGGAATACACACATACAGAGATTTGCTTTTTTCTTTTTTTCTTTTAATAAGACAGGGTTTCTTCATTTTGGTCAGGCTGGCCTTGAACTCCCAACCTCAGGTGATCCGCCTGCCTTGGCCTCCAAAGTGTTTGGATTACAGGCGTGAACCACCACGTCCGGCCTAGATTTGCTTTTTATTACTATTGTTATTAAACAATTTTGTTAAATGATTACTTAATTATTTGTTGAGAGAATAGTCATTATAGTGTCACATTTCTTCTAAGCACACTTCATTCTTTGACTGAATATAGAGCTATAAAACTGGGTTTATAGAGATTACTTTTCTTAAATGACTTCTCTTTTCATGCCTGTCCATGACGAAATAAAGTTTTACTCAAAGGCTTATGGAAAGATAGATCAAAACTTCCTGTAAGTTTGCCCTGCCACTTTTGAATGTCTTAAATATTAAATCCCATTCTTTATTGAAGCCAGTTGTGATTTAATGAGCTTGTTACAGTATAACTGGACCACAGCAGGAGCTCAGCTGTCCTGCCATCATGCTAGTGAGCTAGGTTAATGTAATTATTTTATCTTTTTTTTTTTTTTTTTTTGAGACAGGGCCTTGCTCCATCACCCAGGCTGGAGTGCAGTGGTGGGATCTCAGCTCACTGCAACCTCTGCCTCCCTGGTTCAAGCAGTTCTCTGCCTCAGCCTCCTGAGTAGCTGGGACTGAGGCCCAGCTAATTTTTGTATTTTTAGTAGAGACGGGGGTTTCACCGTATTGGCCAGGCTGGTCTTGAACTCCTGATCTCATGATCCGCCCACTGTGGCCCTCCAAAGTGCTGGGATTACAGGTGTGAGCCACCATGCCGGGCCCTATCTTGTTTTTATTTTATTTTTTTCTCCCAACTTTATTGAAATGTCTACCAAAAAAAAAAAAAAAAAAGAAACTTTTCTATTACATCATTAAATACATTTCTATGAGTATGCTTATTTGAATGTAAATGAGGAAAAGCATCAAGAAAGAGATCTTTGAGAAGTATATTTGGAAGTGTAATCTTTATGTGTATGTATGTATTTGATCATTCAGGAAAATGTTATGCATTTATAGAGGTTTAATGCCACTTTGTAAAAGTAAGTCTTTGACAATATTCCTGTGTTTCAGATGAAAAAAAATTGTTAACTGAAATGAAAATTCAATCTCTAAAATGTTCTGATAGTTTGAGTACTTTAATGTGGATGTTCTAAAGCACTTGGTTAATTGTTGACTCAAAATTTAGGCGCCAAAAGACAAGAAGAATAAACTGGCTTTTTCTGTTGTAGGTGAAGGGAGAAGATGAGGAAGAGAACAATTTGGAAGTACGTGAAACCAAAATTAAGGGTAAAAGGTAAGCCAACAAAGAATATATCTTGTCTCTTCTTGTTAAAGATTATCATGTCAGGGTTGGGATCACGTGGGATCGTAAACTAGGAGAGTTGCTTAGGAAGTGCCTGCTGTATTGGAGGGTTCTGTTTGTTTTGTAGAGAGGAGGTCTAGCCATGTTGCCCAGGCTGGTCTTGAATTCTTGAGCTCAAGCGATCCTCCTGCCTCGGCCTCTCAAAGTGTTGGGACTACAGTTGTGAACCACTGTACCTGTCCTAGAGGATTATTTTTTCTTTCTTGAGACAGAGTCTGACTCTGTTGCCCAGGCTGCAGTACTATGGCAGTGTGTTGACTCACTGCAACCTCTGCTCCCAGACTCAAACCATCCTTCCACCTCAGCCTCCAGAGTAGCTAGGACTAGAGGTGTGTGCCACCATGCCTGGCTAGTGTGAGTGTGTGTGTATGTGTTTTTAGTAGAGACAGGGTTTTGCCATGTTGCCCAGGCTGGTCTTGAAATCCTGGCCTCAAGCAGTTATTTGCCTCCCAAAGTGCTGGGATTATAGGAGTGAGCCCTACTGAGGATGTTTTAATTAATGTATGTGATTATAAGCAACATGCTGTAATATATTCTGGACTCATTTATGTCTTGTCATTACTAATGCTGAAATTGGATTTCGCTAAACAGTGGCAGTTTGTTTTATAGGAAGAAAGTAGATACTTTCCATGTCAGATCAGTTCTCCCTCCTGGTTCCACAGAGCTTTATGTGAGAACTCCAAGCTGTTTGCTCTAGCAAGTATCTTCCTATCTATGGTTGGTTGCTATTCTGTTTCCAAGGGGTAGACAACCTTCTTATTGGATCCCCCACCCCTAAGCCTTCAGGGCAAAGTTATAACTTCTTTGAAGGTCTTCTGTGAAGTCTGTGAAGGCTGAGTGGGTTTAAATTCACATAGTTGTCTTCTCTGACCTCAGCACCTAACAAGGAGCCTGGAACTTCTTTTTTTACTTTATTTTATTTTATTATTATTATTATTATTTTTTATTTTTTATTTTTATTTTTATTTTTATTTTTTTTATTTTTTATTTTTTTTTGAGATGGAGTTTCGCTCTTGTTACCCAGGCTGGAGTGCAATGGCGCGATCTCGGCTCACCGCAACCTCCACCTCCTGGGTTCAGGCAATTCTCCTGCCTCAGCCTCCTGAGTAGCTGGGATTACAGGCATGCGCCACCACGCCCAGCTAGTTTTTTGTATTTTTAGTAGAGACGGGGTTTCACCATGTTGACCAGGATGGTCTCGATCTCTCGACCTCGTGATCCACCCGCCTCGGCCTCCCAAAGTGCTGGGATTACAGGCTTGAGCCACCGCGCCCGGCCTCATTATTATTATTTTTTATTTTTATTTTTATTTTTTATTTATTTATTTTTTTTGAGACGGAGTTTCGCTCTTGTTACCCAGGCTGGAGTGCAATGGCGCGATCTCGGCTCACCGCAACCTCCGCCTCCTGGGTTCAGGCAATTCTCCTGCCTCAGCCTCCGGAGTAGCTGGGATTACAGGCACGCGCCACCATGCCCAACTAATTTTTTGCACCTTTAGTAGAGACGGGGTTTCACCATGTTGACCAGGATGGTCTCGATCTCTTGACCTCGTGATCCACCCGCCTCGGCCTCCCAAAGTGCTGGGATTACAGGCTTGAGCCACCGCGCCCGGCATTATTATTTTTTAAAAGACAGGGTTTCACCATGATGGCCAGGCTGGTCTTGAACTCCTGACCTCAGGTCATCCGCCCACCTTGGCCTCCCAAAGTGCTAGGATTACAGGTGTAAGCCACTGCACCCGGCCCAGAAGGTATTTATTTTTTTTTGGAGACAGAGTCTCATTCTGTTGCTCAGGCTGGAGTGCAGTGGCCCTGTCTCAGCTCATTGCAACATCTGCCTTCCAGGTTCAAGCGATTCTCCTGCCTCAGCCTCCTGAGTAACTGGGATTATACACATCTGCCACCACGCCTGGCTAATTTTTGTATTTTTATCAGAGATGGGGTTTCACCATGTTGGCCAGGCTGGTCTTGAACTACTGACCTCAGGTGATCCGCCTACCTCAGCCCTGCACAGTACTGGGATTATAGGCCTAAACCACTGTGCCCAGCCCTTTTTTCTTATATATGAGTACATCATAACCTTTCCTTTCCTTTTTTTTTTGGAGATGAAATCTTGGTCTGTCCCCCAGGATGGAGGGCCAGATGCAATCTTGACTGACTGCAACCTCTGCCTCCCAGGCTTAAGTGATTCTTCTGCATCAGCCTCTGGAGTAGCTAGGATTACAGGCCTCCACCACCATGCCTGGCTAATTTTTTTGTATTTTTGGTAGAGACAGGGTTTCACCATGTTGGCCAGGCTGGTTTTGAACTCCTGACCTCAGGTGATCTGCCCACCTTGGCCCCCCAGGGTGCTAGGATTACAGGTGTCAGCCACTGTGCTTGGCCACCTTTTTTGTTTTCCATGTAATCTTCATAGTCATCTTTCTTTTGTTGTTACGTTTAATCCTCCTTGAATTACAGTTCATGTACAACATCCTCTTAGGAGCCACATTTTAGTGCATGGTGATTATCTTGCTTTTTCTGTTACAGTCTCTGAGTGTATGAAATAGGCATCTCACCATCCCTGAGTCTGTCAGATCTGAGAGTTAGCTTTAAACAAGTCGCTATTAAAACTGCTTTCTCTTGTAAACATTTAAGAGACTGCTCTCCTTCTCTGAGACTGAGTACCCTGTCTGTGTTTATTGGCTCCAGCTGCTTTTTATTGTCCTGTAGCTATCTCCTGAAGAGGCAAGGTAACATAGTGGTTAGGAGTGTGGTTTTTACATCTTTTCGGTTTCTTTTATTTTTTTGAGACGGAGTTTCGCTCTTGTTACCCAGGCTGGAGTGCAATGGTGCGATCTCGGCTCACCGCCACCTCCGCCTCCTGGGTTCAGGCAATTCTCCCGCCTCAGCCTCCTGAGTAGCTGGGATTACAGGCACGCGCCACCATGCCCAGCTAATTTTTTGTATTTTTAGTAGAGACGGGGTTTCACCATGTTGACCAGGATGGGCTCGATCTCTTTTTTTTTTTTTTTTTTTTGAGACGGAGTTTTGCTCTCGTTACCCAGGCTGGAGTGCAATGGCGCGATCTCGGCTCACCGCAACCTCTGCCTCCTGGGTTCAGGCAATTCTCCTGCCTCAGCCTCCTGAGTAGCTGGGATTACAGGCACGCGCCACCACGCCCAGCTAATGGGCTCGATCTCTTGACCTCGTGATCCACCCACCTCAGCCTCCCAAAGTGCTGGGATTACAGGCTTGAGCCACCGCGCCCGGCCGGTTTTTACATCTTTAGTGCCTGAGATCAAATCCTAGCTCTGTTATGTTTACTAGCATTTTCCTCATAGTAAAAGAATAGTGTTGCTGGGCGCGGTGGCTCAAGCCTGTAATCCCAGCACTTTGGGTGGTCGAGGCGGGTGGATCACGAGGTCAAGAGATCGAGACCATCCTGGTCAACATGGTGAAACCCCGTCTCTACTAAAAATACAAAAAATTAGCTGGGCATGGTGGCGCGTGTCTGTAATCCCAGCTACTTAGGAGGCTGAGGCAGGGAGAATTGCCTGAACCCAGGAGGTGGAGGTTGCGGTGAGCCGAGATGGCGCCATTGCACTCCAGCCCGGGTAACAAGAGCAAAACTCCGTCTCAAAAAAAAAAAAAGAATAGTATTTACCTTATATGATCATGGTTAAGATTCACTAAATTCATACATATAATGTACTTGGAACCTTAGTAAGTACTTAATAAATTTTGAATTAATCACAAGGAAGGCTAACTAATGGAATGAAAGGAACGTTTCAGGCAGAGACATCTGTAAAGATATAGAAGTTTGACATTTCATGGTGCATTTTGTTAACTGGGCTTTCAGAGTGGCTCTTGCTCAGAGGAAGGTGAAGCTGTGTAGGGTGGTTTGAGTACCATTATTAGAGGTGTGGACTTTAAGCAGTTGGGAACGTTAAAAAAATTTTTTTTCACAGCATACCATTTCATTCATTTCTATTTATATGTGCACACATTATACGAATTTGTCTTTATCACCTCTTCCTGCCACAGAAACTGACATATACGGTGTTCTCAGTAAATCTGTTTGAGTACATGAGTAATTGCTTTAGAAAAACCAAATCATTCACACAGTGTTCTCCCATTAGATCCAGCTAGAGAAGAGCTACAGGAAAAAAAAGTCCTGCTCCATATACATAGTTTGGTCAGTTCTGTGTTGTCTAACTAGCATTTTATTGATTGAAAACCTTCATTAGCTGGTGCTTCCACATTTTGATAAGAACTGATGTTCCTAATGATTATCCTGGAGCACTGAAAGGTTCTGATTTGTCTTCTGAATCATGAAAGCAAACTTACGTGACAACATTTAACAGCTTGTAAAATGAATGTAGGAGTCTTGACTTGAGATTGTGTAGATGGGCTTGAGTGGGGAGGAAGATGAGTACATTAATCTAGGCACATGGTATTGGTTTGAATGGAAGGGGAGGCATTTCTAAGGCAGGACTGCCCAGATATTGGGGACAGAAAATGCCTGAGTTTCCAGCTTAGAGTTGATTAGATGGCAGTGGTGTTAAAAGAGATCAGGAATTGGGATCATGAATGATACGGTTATGTTGAATTGCCTGTGGGATGGTCAGTGCAGCTGTCTGGTAAACATTTGAAAGTTTGATTTTATAATTCAGGACAGAGAATGGGATGAGAAGCACATTTGAAACTTGAAACTAAGAACTGGATAAGACTGTTGTGGGAGAAGATACTGCTGCTTATGTTTTCAGTAGTGAACTTCACAGTAGTAATATGAAATATAATGGTGTGACTGATAAAGACATGCAAGTTCAGTGTTCTGTAAAGTCATATCAGGAAAAATGATACATGTTCTAACCTTTGAGAACAAACTCATTGGAGCATATTCATTCAGTTTTTCACTAATGGTTTCTACATCTTCTAAAAATTGGTCTCGGCCGGGTACAGTGGCTCATGCCTATAATCCTAGTACTTTGGAAGGCCGAGGCGGTGGATTGCCTGAGTTTAGGAGTTCAAGACTAGCCTGGGCAACACAGTGAAACCCCATCTCTACTAAAATGCAAAAAATTATCTGGGCTTGGTGGCATGTGCCTGTGCAGGAGAATTGCAAGGACCCGGGAGGCAGAGGAGGTTGCATTGAGCCGAGATCACACCACTGCACTCTCGCCAGGGTGACAGAAAACTGATTGAATTTAGAATTAGTACCCTGTGCATTTTCAGTTTCCAGGCCGTCTGTTTTTCTTTGAAGTATGAGTAGCTTTATTTTTTTCTCCATATGAGGATAATGCAAGCTCATTATAAGACTTAAATCGGGGTGTGGTGGCTCATGCCTATAGTCCCAGCACTTTGGGAGCCTGAGGTGGGCGATCACCTGAAGTCAGGAGTTCCAGACCAGCATGGCCAACATGACGAAATCCCCATCTCTACTAAAAACACAAAAATTATTAAAAGTACTCTATTTTTTTTTTTTTTTGAGACGGAGTTTCGCTCTTGTTACCCAGGCTGGAGTGCAATGGCGCGATCTCGGCTCACCGCAACCTCCGCCTCCTGGGTTCAGGCAATTCTCCTGCCTCAGCCTCCTCAGTAGCTGGGATTACAGGCACGTGCCACCATGCCCAGCTAATTTTTTGTATTTTTAGTAGAGACGGGGTTTCACCATGTTGGCCAGGATGGTCTCGATCTCTCGACCTCGTGATCCACCCGCCTCGGCCTCCCAAAGTGCTGGGATTACAGGCTTGAGCCACCACGCCCAGCCTAAAAGTACTCTATTAAAAGTACAAAAATTAGCTGGGTGCGGTGGCGGGTGCTGGTAATCCTAGCTATGAGGGAGGCTGAGGCAGGAGAATCACTTGAACCTAGGAGGCGGAGGTTGCAGTGAGTGGAGATCGTGCCATTGTACTCCAGCCTGGGTGAAAAGAGTGAGACTCGGTCTCAAAAATAAAAATAAAGTAAAACAAATTGTAAAAGACAAACTAAAGGTTATTCTCCTACCTTGAGAGACTTACCATTAACATTTTGTTGAACATTCCTTGAAATACAATTTTTTTTTTTTTTTTTTTTTTCGAGATAGGGTTTCACTCTTGTTGCACAGGCTGGAATGCAATGGCATGATCTCAGCTTACCACAGCCTCCGCCTCCCAGGTTCAAGCGATTCTCCTGCCTCTGCCTCCCTAGTAGCTGAGATTACAGTCATGCACCACTACGCCCAGCTAATTTTTGTACTTTTAGTATAAAGAGATGGGGTTTTGCCACGTTGGCCAGGATGGGCTTAAACTCCTGGCCTCGGGTAATCTCACCTCAGCCTCTCAAAGTGCTGGGATTACAGGCATGAGCAAGCCACTGCACCCAGCCAAGAGATCATCTTTAATGTAATAATTTAAGTCTTTTATTAGGCAGGTGCAGTGGCGAGCGCCTGTAGTCCTAGCTACTCGAGAGGCCGAGGCAAGAGAATCACTTGAACCTGGAAGGTGGAGGTTGCAGTGAGCTGAGGTTGCGCCATTGCCCTCCAGCCTGGGCAACAGAGTGAGACTCCCAACTGAAAGAAAGAAAATAATAATAATTTCTTTTAAGACGAATGTCTAGATGTTTCTGTCAGAGTTTGTTTATAATAGCAAGAGTATAAAACAACCTAAATGTTCAACAGTGGGACAAAAGTTAAAAATATTCTAATAGGTAATCCCAGCTACTTGGGAGGCTGAGGCAGGAGAAATTGCTTTAAACCCGGGAGGTGGAAGTTGTAGTGAGCTAAGGTTGCACCCATTGCACTCCAGCCTGGGTGATAGAGTGAGACTCTGTCAGGGAGAAAAAAAGGTGAATTTCTTTAAAGATAATTGCTTTTGTCTTGAGTTTCAAAAATTTTGTGTCACTTTGACTGCTAGTTCTGTTTTTCCAGTATCCTCAGTTTCTCTTAATTCTCTTGCCTTGTTCTTCCTTCAGTGGGAAATTCTTCACAGTCAAGCTCCCAGTTGCCCTTGATCCTGGGGCCAAGATTTCAAGTCATTGTGGAGACAGTCTACACCCCATGTGCTTCAGCCCGTATTCCAACCCAGATCACCCAGTCAGAGAAACAGTTTGTGGTGTTTGAGGGGAACCATTATTTCTACTATCCCTATCCAACGAGACACAAACCATGCGTGTGAAGCTTGCCTCCCGAAACGTGAGAGCTACACCAAAGCTGGGGAACCCCACACGCTCTGAGGACCATGCTGGATTATGGGCCTTTTCAGAGATGTCCCTGCCTATAGTCATGGTAGGCTCAGGTGGAGGTCCAGCACATCCCTGTCTGCTTCAGAGAATGTCTTGCAGAGTGACTGGTGGATGGGCTTGGCTGGTATGGGGTGTTTGAACATCTGACGGTCATTTATAAGGTCATCCCAAAAGTGTTTAACCTGTAATGAAATGACTCCATGGGAGTCTCGTATTCCTCTTTGGGATCACAGGTAGAGGCTGAGGGGTAGTATTTCAAGAGATGGAATGGGAGTTGGGGGAGATGGAAGCAAGGCATTCCAGGCAGAGGCAGTAAGAGGGACCAAAGGCCCCTGAGATGGTGTGGCTGGGCAGATACTGGGGGTAGCAAAGCTGTTGGAATGGCTGAGGGGCCTTCTTTAAATGTTGGGCCTTCGTTGGAACTTGAAGGGAGAGGGAGCAATTAAAGCTTAAAAAGGTTTTGTTACTATGGCAAATTTCAAACATTGCCAGAGTACAGAGACTAGTGTAAACTCCCACACACATCACTTAGATTCAGTGGTTATCAAGTTACCATATTCAGCCACCCCTCTCTTTTTCTTTGGTGGAGTATTAAAAAAATTTTTTTTTGAAATTTGGATCTTGCTTTGTTGCCCAGCCCAGAGTGCAGTGGCACAATCATAGCTAACTGTAACCTAAAACTCCTGGGCTCTAGTTTATCCTCCCAGCTCGCCTCCTATGTAGCTGAAACAACAGATGATGCGTCACGATGCCCAGTTATTTTTTTTTTTTTTTGAGACAGAGTCTCGCTCTGTTGTCCAGGCTGCAGTGCAGTAGCACTGTCTCGGCTCACTGCAAGCTCTGCCTCCTGGGTTCAAGCAATTCTCCTGCTTAGCCTTCCGAGTAGCTGGGACTACTACGGCGCCCCACCACACACTCCCGGCTAATTTTTTTGTATTTTTAGTAGAGATGGGATTTCACTGTGTTAGCCAGGCTGGTCTTGATCTCCTGACCTTGTGATCTGCCTGCCTCGGCCTCCCAAAGTGCTGGATTACAGGTGTGAGCCACTACACCTGGCCTGTTTTTTGACTTTCTTTGGTTTTGTTTTGTTTTTGAGATGGAGTCTTTTTCTGTCACCAGGCTGGAGTGCAGTGGGGCGATCTTGGCTCACTGTAACCTCCAACCCCCTGGTTCAAGCGATTCTCCTGTCTCAGCCTCCTGAGTAGCTGGGATTGCAGGCAAGTGGCCACCATACCCAGCTATTTGAGATGGAGTTTCGCTCTTGTTACCCAGGCTGGAGTGCAATTGGCGCGATCTCGGCTCACCGCAACCTCCGCCTCCTGGGTTCAGGCAGTTCTCCTGCTCAGCCTCCTGAGTGGCTGGGATTACAGGCACGTGCCACCATGCCCGCTAATTTTTTGTATTTTTAGTAGAAGACGGGTTTCACACCATGTTGACCAGGATGGTCTCGATCTGTTGACCTCGTGATCTACCTGCCTTGGCCTCCCAAAGTGCTGGGATTACAGGCTTGAGCCACCGCACCCGGCCAATTTTTGTATTTTTAGTAGAGAGAGGGTTTCACCATGTTGGCCAGGATGGTTTCAATCTCCTGACCTTGTGATCTGCCTGCCTCAGTCTCCCAAAGTGCTGCGATTACAGGCATGGAGCCACCATGCCTGGCCTGTTTTTGTCTTTTAAATATCAGGTTGATACATAGTTAGGGCTGTTCATTTTGGGTTGTTTTAAACTTTAAGAGCTTTTTTATTGGCTAATTGCTGGGTCTCATGCCTGTAATTCCTGCACTTTGGGAAGCCGAGACAGGTGGATCACAAGGTCAGAGTTTGAGACCAGCCTGGCCATATGGTGAAACCCTATCTCTACTAAAAATCCAAAAAATTAGCCAGTCATGGTGGCATGTGCCTGTT